CGGTTTCATAGCTATACAATAAAGATATAGCAAATGATTTGTTATGCAATAAAATAGCATTAAATTATACAATCAAAACTATATACTTGTCTTGCTCTTTTTCAATTCTCCGAAGCTTTGTTTCTGAATGGCTAATAAGTAATAATGTGGCCTATATTGATCCAAATCTTTGGATGAGCTGATTAAGGCTATACTTTTTCGTATGAATAGTAATTTCACGGATAATTAACGCTTCTAAAAATTGATGATGAATACGTATAAATAAAGATACTACCAATGTTTTAAAAGGCGGGGGCGTGAGGCAAAACGTTTTACCTCTGACGAGGCGAGGCTTAAGCCCTGAGACATGGGGCGTAAGTACCACGGATATTTAAATTTTACTAATTTTAAGAATTTTAAGATAGTATAAAATAAAAAAATAGTTAAAAATTACATTAAAATCACAAAATTATAACAACTAATCCATTTAAAATACTTCTAAATTATAATTCAACTATAAATAATACGAAAAGTATGACATATATCATAATATGCAAATTAGTTGCAACGTCGTCACAACTTAAACATCAAAAGTAATGTATTCGATACGAAATCTTATATGTATCTCTTAATGAGTAATGAATCTTGAAAGAATTTCGATATTATAATTTGATTATTTTTAAATACTCCTTTTATTTAATATGCTTTCAATTTGAAAGAGAACTTATATAAAAATATAATTCACAATTTAAATATGATTCTCTAGCATCATTTATTTTTAAGTTTCAACAAGTTAATAAAGTGACACATAATGCACCATACTATACCATGATAACTAATTATTTGTAAATAGTTGTGCTAGCTAATACTGAGCTAAAATTAATAAGTATTGTATATTGTAAACGTGAAAAATAATATTTAGGAAAAAAATTATAAAATTTTTTTATGGACAATTATACAATAAAGACATAACAAAAATTAATAAATAAATACTTTTTAAATGAAAGATTTATTTAAAATTTAATATCATAGCGGTCTTAATAACGTGCAATAATTTTTATTTTAATTATGACATAAAATACTCTCAACTTAATGATTTATGATTAAGAAAAAAAAGTAATTTTGAATAGTCAATGATTTATTAAGAAAATTTGAGGATTTACCAGGTTAGTTACCAACAATTGCATAAAGTTATATTAGGCGAGCCCAGTACGCTTGGCGTTGGGTGTGTCCGGGGCGTAAGTCCTGATGGCCGAGGCGTAAGTCCACGGAACTAAGCCCCACATTAAGCCCAGAGGTATTTTACGAGTGCTCCGCCCCCGAGGTCGTCTCGGGCGAATCCCAATTCTGCCTTTTAAAACAGAGGATACTACATTATTAATTGGGATTATCCTGCAAATTTTAGTCTAAAAATTTTCCATAGTTGTAAAACTTTCCTCCAGGCAATTCCTCCAGCTATTTGTATCATACATACAGGGCCCGCGTAGTTCGGCATTTGAGTTGAGAAAAATTAGAGATTTCCATATATTTCTGAGCAATATCTTCCGCTTTCCGCTAACTTTTTTCTACTTTTTCTAGAGTTTAAGCAACTCTCCACTATCTCTCCCGTTGACCTCCATTTCTTTTTCAAAGCACTATTATGACCAAACTCTGTATATTCGTCGTTCTTCGGCATTCAATTTGCACAGCTTAAAGCTGCGTCTTTTAACTTCCCATGGCTTTATTAACTTCTGGTACTAAGAGAAAGAAATCATTACCATGGACTTGCCTAATACCTTGTGTAATGCTGCTTTTCGCTGCTTTCTTTATAGGAAGCGCCTTCATTGTCACTGAATGTAAAGAGGTGGAGTAATTAATTAAGGCACATATTACTCTTCTCTTCCTTCAGATAACTCTTGTGTTTTATTCTAACAAGCTTAATATTCCCCTCATTTTTGCTATAATATGTTCCACACTTTATTAACTTCTTTTGATTTTCAAAATTTACTAGACGTTGATTTAATTTGTCCCCTTTCTTCGTACAGAAAATGTTAGGATGGCAATTGATTGAATCCTTCAGAATGACTAAACCTAGTATGTGTGAGGTTTGTCTATCAGATCATCTCCTTTCCTTTTTTTTCTGAACAAAAAAAAATACTCTAACTTAGTTGTAAAAATTTGTCGTTTTTGTTTTATGGTCTTATAGGATGAGTGCAGGCCTGAAGGAAGCGAGACTCTGCCCAGAGGTATTGTGGCTAAGACCTCTAATTTAGAAATGCATCCGCTTTGGGGTCCCCCCAATAAAAAGGTACTATATATATGTAATTAGTCTTTTGGTAAAACATTTTAATGATGGCCTTAAACTTTAAGAGGCAGTGGTTCTTTTTCCTTGTAGAAATCAAAATCACCAATGAGCTTACTAGCTATGGCAGTTGGAATTAAGCAGAAACAGAATGTCAATGAAATTGTTAAGAAGGTGAGAGGCAATAATTTATCTGCACTTGCACAATTCTCATTCCTGCCTTTGAGTTTAAACAACCTTTCTATATGTCTCATTTGCAGTTTCCAGAGACTGATTCTGTCATTATGCTTTTTCATTATGATGGTATTGTCGATGAATGGAAAGATCTAGCATGGAGTAGCACTGCTATTCATATTTCTGCTGTTAATCAAACTAAATGGTACGAGTTCTTCTATCCTAAGTCACACTGGTCTTAATCTTTTAATTGCTAGTCCTATAATTGTAACAAGGCTACAAGTTACAACTAAGACAATGTGTCGGTCAAAAGCATTAGCTGACTCTTGATTCTGTTGTTATCTTAGGTGGTTTGCCAAGAGGTTCTTACACCCAGATATTGTTGCAGAGTATGCTTACATATTCCTGTGGGATGAAGATCTTGGAGTTGAAAATTTCAATGCTGGACGGTAATTATCACTGATGTAGCACAATCTATATTCCAAATTGCATACTACTAGTATAAATTTGTAGCAGTATGACTTCAATGAGCTCTAAAAGGCAATCCCTCTTTTCTATTAGAAGGTAACTAGCATTGATGTTACACTGAAAAAATCTCCACCTGGATCTTTACTGCAGATATTTATCAATAGTAAAAGAAGAGGGTCTTCAGATATCACAGCCAGCAATTGATGCAGATGTATCAGAAATTCATCATCAACTTACAGCACGAGAAAAAGGGTCAAGAGTGCACAGGTATTACTCTCTATTCCAAGCCTGCTGAAGGCTGTCATGAGACTCATGATCAGTGACAGATTCATCAGTAATAAGTCCATCTTCTTGAAAAAAGCTGTCTTGTAAATATTGCTAATTCTAAAAACTCTTACGGTTGAAATAGGAGGGCAATAAACATAAAGGGTCCAGGAAGAAGGTGCTACGAAGACAGCACTGAACCGCCATGCACTGGGTAAAATTATTACCAGTTACAGACAGAAAGAACTATGTTTCAATTATATCTTTTCTATCCATCTCTGAATTCTAGATTTCTGAAAAAAGTATATAATGCACGTGTAGGTGGGTGGAAATGATGGCTCCTGTTTTCTCAAGAGCATCCTGGCGCTGTGCGTGGTACATAATTCAGGTATGGATTCAGATCTTAGTAAATCTAGTACACTATCTGTATAACCAAATTTCTTGCCTAAGTTTGACCTTCCCTCTGCTTACAGAATGACTTCGTTCATGCATGGGGGGTGGACTTTCAGCTTGGATATTGTGCGCAGGTTTCATATCCCAGCCCCAGCAATTATTTTTCTTTTTAAAGTTATTGTAGAGTTTTCATTTTATCAATTAAGAAAAGTTTACTTTCTTGTTTGATCTGTAACTATTTTTGATAGGGGAACAGAACCACAAACGTTGGGGTTGTTGACTCAGAATATTTGATTCACTATGGTCTTCCGACACTAGGTGGTGCAGAAAATGAGGTATTTTTGGCAAAATTATGAGGATTGAACGTACATTGGACAATTGAATAGGAAATCAAGTTTCTATCTCCTCTAATAACAACAACAAACCCAATATAATCCCACAAGTGAGGTCTGAGGAAGTTTCTATCTCCTCTCCTTTCAGTAAATCCTAACTATTGTCTTTCTATGCAGAAGAGCAGTTTAGCACAAGAGAAAACTCTTAAACAGGAAAGCTTGTCAAATGAAGGGCAAACAGTACGTACCAAAAGTAACTAGCTTTCAACAATCAACTGCTTGAATAGCATGTAAATTAACTGAAACTTAATTGCAGGGACTGCCGGAATCTCATCCGTCTGATGCAAGAAATGCTGTAAGTTCAATCAACTTCTATGAAAGAACCTCTACTTGATAGCCATTCCTGTTGCATTTTCCAGTTTCTTTGAAACATTCATATCTTAGTGTATCTACACCACATACACAATGCAATATGACAATCTTCTAACATTGAATTGCATATAAAGCTAAACACACAACTAATTATTATATCCAAGTTCCTTTCCATGTTATGATAAAACCAGAGTCATTTTGCAGGTGCGTAAACAATCTCTTGTTGAATTAGAGCGATTCAAGAATAGATGGAAAAAAGCTGTCAGAGAAGACCAATGTTGGGTCGATCCCTTTCAGCAGCCTGTGAAACAAAAAAGGTGACTGAAGGGTGGCATTGTCAAACTTTAAGACTGAAGATATACAAATTACAGTTATTCCATCTTGAAGTTGAATTTGGAAGGCTGAGATGGTTTTTTACGGGCTTCAAGTACTCATGATAACAGAGACACATTGTCAATTTCCATAAGCTCCAATTATGTTTACAAACAAATAGAATAGTTCAGACTTCAGACAGCTAGATTAACTTATGATATACACCATCTGAAGCAATTACTGAAAATGCAACGCTGTCAAGCAGCTTAAATGAAAATCTTACCATTTTCTGGTGTTATCTATGCAGCATGCCAGCATCACAATATCATTAAATTTAAATCATGTTGTACAAATGATAAACACGCTGAAATATAAATATTAATAGATGGCCTACCCATTTAATCCAGAGATAAGTTCTTATGAAAATCACAAAATGCTGCTTCTTTTTCCAACAATTCCAGCAAGGAGTTGACCAAATTCTTCACCACTGTCCTCCTGAACGTGATGTCCCGACTGCATAATCCAGAGAATAAATACATTTTTGCTTTATAAACCAAAACCACATTGAAATACAGTAAAAATAGAAAGAATATCTAGCTTGTTAATATGAATCAACTTCTGATAATCAATGCTCTTTCAAATGACCAGAGTCCCCATTATAATTTAGTGAGGTTCAAAAGGCGTATTCAAGAGTTTTGATATTCATTTCCAAAGAGTGCCCTTCATTTGTAACATTATCCTCCACAAGAAAAGAGCCATGAAATATTGTCATTACCATAGGAAGTTCGACCAGCCGATGCTTTGATTCTTTGCAGAAATCTTCTACACCATCAAAGCTTAACCAGCGGTCTCTTTGTCCCCAGCAAACTGTTGTTTGGACTGTCCAGTTATTGTCCATAAGTATTGCTCTTGTGTCCTCAACATAGCCCTGCCAATCAGAGAGCACAAAAGGACGAATAAGATCAATATATCCTTAAATAACGAGGAAGAGAGATTAAAAGAACTGAACTAGACACATCTTCTGTTATCTACTTTTAAGACTCAATAGGAAGAAGACAATTTTATTGGTTTTTCATATTTGTTTCATGGAGTTTCTGCTGACAAATAGAACCCCTCAACTATCAAGCACATGGCCTTTACCCTTTGGATGGAGAAGTTTGGAGTCAAGCTTGAATTATAACTATCAATTTCTATCTCCAATATCTCCAACATCAAAGATATCTTTCTGACTTCCTCCGAAATTAGCTTATCTCACATTTGCATGAGCAATGGCAGATCTTGGACAATCAGGCTCTTTGAACTTCACAGTCTAGATTAGACAGAGGGCCCTTAGCCAACTGCCTAGGTTGAAAAAGAACAAAGAAGACAAAAGCAACTATCGTAATCTTCACAGACACTAGAATAGGGAGGGAAAGAAGAAAAAGAAAAGAACACCTTTGCTTTCAGAGGCGGGTCGCCTGAAAAGCAGACAAGAGGGAGGAGAAGAAAAGAAAGGACAAACAAAATTCTAGCCAGCTAGCACTGAGCGGAGATACTTTGGGGGGTACTATATCACTTTTCCTATAACCATAGATAATTAAACTTCGGTTGATTGACCTGTGGCAAAGTGCCTGCAAACCAAATAGAAAATTAACATCATCAGCATAAAAGTGCACCTTCAGTTGCTTCTTCATTGCCTTGCTTATTGCATTTAATGCAAATCCTGCAGAACCAGATGTGAGATAAGGTCTTCTGTAAACCATCGCCACATCTTCTTTTATTTGGTAAGGACCACAACTCAGCATTGTTTTATCACTAGCTCTAAGAGGGTCCTGATTGCAAGAGAGTTAAACCAAGAATGAGAGACAACTGGCAGCAGATTTGCAGAGGAACATGCATATGTCGGTAGCAGAACATATGTGAAAATATTTGCATCTACCCTACCTGACAAAATATTTCGCCCAACAAAAAGTTGCTCAGGACTGATAAGGTTGATGGTAGATTGGCATGTTGCATTGTCAGCTTCAGTAAACCAAGAAAATGAATGGTTAGTGAATCCAAACATGTCTGCATTGTCAGCTTCAGTAAACCAAGAGAATGAATGGTTAGTGAATCCGAACATGTCTTCACTCAACTAGTTCGAAGGAGAAAAAGAAGCTGAGGAAACAACATTGGCTTTATCTAAGTGACATGAATCTGAAGTCATTAAACAGTTTCATCTTTCATATGTTTGAAAAGAGTGTAAAATAATGTGGTTCAAGGTCCTAGAGTAATTAGAAACGGCATTCAGCCAAGAAGAAACATGATTGGACAGAGAACAAAGAAAACGAAAAAGATATTCTATTTCTTGGATTTTCGCTGGCAATATAGTAACCTGCAGAATAATAAAGTTATCAGCAGAATATGACAATTCTATAGTTTGACTGCACATCACCATCACAATTAAGCTATACAGATCCAGAGAAAAAATGTTCAGCAAATAAAAGCATGTACTGGTTACGGTTGACTAATCCTTACTGGTGGATTGAGAAGTATAAGACCATTTAGCTTTTCCTGGTGATTGCTAGCATATTTGATTGCAATTGGTGAAAAGTATCCCTGGAAGAGAATGGCAAAAGGAGAGATTTTCTTCAAATCAGATAACACAAGATAAGTAACACAGAGCAAGTTAAATGCTAACAGTCAAATACAGTAGTGCAAATAGATGAATATGTAGGGGGGCATTTCTGTATCTTGGTGACAGATCAACGGCGCTGCCTCCCACTTAAATAGAGAGACTCGATTTTGTTTTGAACATTTTTTTTCAGATGGAATGGCATGGTGGCCCTATAGAAGAATTTTCCATATATATATATATATATATATAAACTTACCTGTACTACAAGAGTAACCTTTTTGTCAGTAAGAGCATTGATAATAGATTCCAAGGATGCCACGTACTCTGTCAGACATGAGAAACTGAATGTGAAGGAGTGGAGATTTCTATATTGTAATAATCTGTTCATTATTATCATATTCCTAGGTGGATATATAATATTATTTACCATCCAATGTATAGTCAAATCCGTATCTTGGTTGGGGCTTATCTGAGAATCCAAATCCTGTAAGAAGGAGAAAGTAGAACTATTCATTATCCTAACATAAACATGGATGAGCGTGAACCTCACTATTTTTTTTTTGTTTAAAAAATAGTACAAAACTGGAATGGAAGATAATATGGCGATACTGTTAAAATTGTAGAGTAGCATTAGAAATAAAAACACATTAAAAGACACTACTTCATCAGTTCATCTAAATGTGGAGCAGTGGAGGTATGAATGCTAGCATTGACAATGGAAACGATTCCAAATAAATTAGGAGGATAATGCAAGAAAGTACTAAAATACTGACCCAGCCAGTCAAATGCTATAGCATGATAGTTCTTCTCAAGAATGGGAAGAATTTTGCGGTAAGAGTATGCCTGTAAAGTAGCAGTGCAAGCACAGTTAGCTAACTATCAACCAATTACATGGTAAAGTAACAGGCACAAATTGGTGATATAAACTGAAATTAAGTAGCCAAGAACAAGAAGCTGGTCAAGTTAGAAGGAATACAAGCATCATAATCTGAGTTCTTCAGACTAGAAATGTAGAACTTAGATGGAAGTTGGTAATTGGGAATTCATATTGAAAATAATTGGTTCATCACCTGAGCTTGCATTTAGTTTGAAGAAAGACTAATTCCATCAAAATGTTGATATGCTTAAAAAATAGTCTAATCAAAATAAACTTACAATCTAACTAGGTTTTCCATTTTCTGAGATTTACTAATTTGAATGGTACTAAGGCAGCATCCTAACCTGTGAGGGTAATCCGTGGACTAATACAATGGTAGAATTGTCAGTGCTTCCGTTCTCTACACAAAACCATCTATTGCACAAAATCATATACAGAGAGCATTCAATCGGTAATCCTGCAAACAACCCATCCTCAATTTCTGCATATAAGATTGCTATATCCCTAAATTGTCTTAACAAACAAACTAATAAATTTGCAAAAATAATCAACCAGATTCACCTGAAAAGATCAGATGACGCCTGTGAACCCCCACCCATTGTAAGTCCAAAAAGGGGATCTTTTGCCTTCTCCCCAATCCCAGATACAGGATGAGCTTTCACCTGAACGTCACAAAAGAATACCAAAATTCAGATGGGTACAACAATTGCTAGTATTGTTGAGTTTTTGTTTAAGATGAAATAGTCTTAAAATTAGAGTGAATGGGAAATGGGATTTGGATTCGGATTTGGTCAAATGATCGATCGATTGATTAATTTTTTGGACCAAATTTATTTGTTAATAGTGAATATTAACGTGATATAATCCGTGTTTGTAACGGATGTTTTCCAATCCGTGTATTGTGTTGCAACACTAAGCAACAATGCAGCCTAGTGCACCTCCCACAATGGTGCAAGTGTTCCTCCCACCAAGCAAGTGTATATACCACCATGTAAGTGCTTTCTCCATGATCTAGTGCTTGTTGCACCATGGAAGGGGCGGATTTCTCTCAAATAACTGCTATAAATAGAGCATAAGTTGGAGAGAAAGAAGAACACATCGAAAAAAACACTTGAAACACTCTGTATACACTTAATATACACTCTGTATACACTGGATATACACTCTGCATATACTGGATATACACTCTGTATACACTGCGTATACACTGGAAAAACGAATTGCAATTTGATATTCTCTTCAGTAAGAATTCAACATTGGCTATACTTTGCATTCCTTCCTCTCAGAATTTCCATTCGACTTCTGAGTTGTCCTCCTTATTCTGCATTGTTTTTAACTACAAACAAAGCATCCATAAGTGTGATTTGTTGCCGAACTTTGTGTTCGTTGAAACACTGGGGTTTGAAGTACCGCTACACCAGTGTGTAATTCGTTCTATCCTGGGAGGAAATAATCTATAACCTTGGGTACTAGGAGGGGATTAAATTCTTTAAGGAAACACTGTGAATTCAGTGGGCTCGAATTAATTTCTGTTTTTTATTTATATTTACGTTTATAAGCTAACGTTCTAATTTCCAGAATCATTATTTACAAGTACAGAGGAACAACAAGTATAAGAGATAAATGCACTCGGATTTTAATCAGCCATATTCATTGTTATAGAACATGGAAAATGGCAGAAAAAACGCACAAATTTTCCTTTCTTGAACCATTCATCAGCGGGGGTCGGCTCGTCTGAATATTTCCCTATACAAAATAATCAATTTAATCTGTAATTAAACTGAAAATGCCACATCCTTGAAATTAAATTACATTAACAGAAACAAGAACGAACATTGCAAATTATTCAAATTCCAACCTCCGCTAAAAGAAAATCCATCCCCAACTGAAACAGGAGCATCCAACAAATATTCCTGAACATTTTCAGAAAATTTACAAAAAAAAAAAAAAACCCAGAAACGTAATTTACTTCAAGAAAAATATTGATCACGAGATATGACAGAAAAGTTATACGTACCTCGTTGTTATCGCTGCTCGATCGGAAATGGAATTGCAAAAGTTTCTTCCTTCCCTGAGCTCCATGGTATTTTGGGAAAGAGAATTGGTGAAGTGGCAGATTGATCCTATCAGGGGGAGAAGAGGGGAGCATGCGGAAGCAGTGACAGTGAAGAGTAGCCATGGAATTCGTGAACAACAAATGTGCTGTGACAGTTATGACCGTTTTGTTTCCGATTTTTAGAATAATATAATACAATTAAAAGATTTTTGTGCGGGGGTTCAAAGGAGATAGGGTGTCTCTGGTTCTCTATCTTTCATTATTTTGGAACACAAAAATTGGTAACACCTTTTTTTCTGGAAAATGTAACCTTAGATAGTAGATTTCAATCTTGCTCTACTCTTTTTCCTGTAAAAAAAACTAAACAAAAATACTAAGAGACACTTTGGAAAGCCACCTAGTAATTAGATTTAGTTGTAATTACATAGTTTGACTTTGACATGTTTGTTTTACCAAGTAATTACTTGCTCAGCATGAAATTTGGTGTAATTGGAGGGTTACACGCTCCAATTTTCAAGAGGAAGTGAGAATTAGTGGTAATTACACTATATAATTACAATGTTGCTTTTTAGTTTCTTTCCTTATTATTTTAATTTTAATTTATTTTCCTTATAACCTTTTATTTCTATTTTTTTAATTTTATTTTTACTTTTTAATTTCTTTGAAATTTTGAAATATATTTTCTTTGTGCATTATTTATCTTTTATTTCTCTACCTTTACTTTTCGTGATTTCATGTAATTGCTTATATTTTATTTATTATTTATTTTATTATTTTATTTTTTGAAACTATACCTCATAATATTAGAAATAATGAGTCATTAACAAACTTGACATATTATGAGTGATGCAATTAAAGTAGAATTTCATTGTTGAATGTGGTTATAAACTTATTATGTTTCTTAATCTTAAGTTGTAGTGGAACTTACTATTATTATGTTGAAATTTGACATATGTTAAACTATTTTTTTTCTTTTTTTGTGTTTTGAAATTGTGTTATATTCATGGATCCAATTTACTTGTTTTAGTAGTATTAGCTCACATTGCATGTTGTTTATTTTTTAGTTAGAATTGATAGATTGGTTTTGTCAAATATTTGAATAAAGTTATGACATTATATTTATAAATATTAATTTATTTTATCTAACATGAATTCCATGATATTCTTATAAAACATATGTTTTTAATTTTTGTAAGTATCTAAACTAAATATTATTAATTTAAAAAATATATAAAAATTATTTTTACAATTATTAGTTATAAATATATGATTGCTAGTTAATGTATATTCACGAAAAATATACATCTTAAATACCAAATACAATATCATTTATACTTATAAAAATTTATAGGCATATATTTATTATATTAACTTTTAAATTTTGATAATTACTTCATTTAAAATTTAATCTAACTATGTAAATACACTTGCGCAACCAAACAGTAAACTTGTAATTACATTGTAATAACACTATGACAAACAACCAGATCATCGTAATTACACAACTGTGTAATTATAAGGTAATGTAATTACTACCCTAATAATTATACCAATTTCAATTACATTGTGGCTTTCCAAACAGACCCTAAAGGTTGCACACTTTTGCAATTTAAGAAGTTAAAAGATAGTTCTAACTAGATTTGGGTAAAGATTAATTCATTTGACTCTTGAAAGAATAAAAAATTAAAGAGCGAAGACGTTACACATGAAAAGTAATTTGTAGATAGGTACTTAAGCCATAAGTCATAAATTAATGAGATTGTGTAACAATCCAACTGGTAGCAACATCCCGTTCTATGGTTTGAGACTTCCTGTAGGTTCACTCGGTGATTTATGACTTGTGGGTATGATTGACTTGAGTTCCGAGAGGATCAGAAAGAATTTAAAGCACATAGTTCCTTACTTGAAACCTTAAGTTAAGAGAGTTGACTAAAGTCAATATTTTAAGTAAACGGACATGGAATCAAGATTTAAAAATTTCTATAGGTTCGTCTGACAATTTTAAACATGTACATATATTCAAATTAGGAGCCAAGGGGCTTGGATTCGATTCGGCACTATTGCATGAAAATTGAAAGTTTAAGGTTTATTAATTTAACTTGAGAGTTAATTTTGCATTCCAGTACTTCCTTTCGTGTTTTGAGCCTTCAGACAAGTTCATATAGAATATTTGGACTTGTTGAGATGGTTTAGAGGGATTCCGGGAGGCTTGGATGAGTTATGACACATTTGGAGCAAGTATTGAAAGATTTAAAGTGTTGAAACATTATTTTTCTGCAAACAACTGATTTTACAAGAAAACCTACTCCAATCTATAAAGAATCTGATGAAGATGCCTCGATGAGAGTCGCAACCCTTTGAATTTAGTTTCCAAAATTTCAAACCATTCATCATTCCAACATCTCTATGAAAAGTTATGACTATTTAAGTGAAGAAAGGCAAATGATATTATTTCAGAAAATATGCACTAAAAATTCTGCACTTATGTATATAACCCCATTTCGTACTTGGATTTTATTTTATCATTTTGGGAGCTAGGGATCTCGGATTGAAGTGATTTTCGAAGCGTTTTGCTTCTAAAATAAGAGTGTAAGTGAATCTAACTTATATTATGATTATAACATGAATCTATAAGCAATTTTCCCTTAGAATCAAGGATTCAAAGGAGAAAAGGAGAATTTTAACTTGAAAGTTAAGAAAGTATATTTTGGGATTTTGAACATCGATTTGGACTAGAATTTAAAAATTAATCGCATATTTGGACTCATAAATTATGACATCTGACCCTGTTGGAGCCGCTCAAACTGGCTCCGTACTCATCCCTCCTAGTGGCTGGAATATACTTCTCCAGAAAGATGTATGTAAACCGATCCCAGTCAATGGAGGTGAACCTGCCGGTCTACCCGAAAGATAAGCCCGCCACCATTCACGGGTTTTCCCTTTAGCTGAAAAATGGTAAAGTCCATACCATTAGACTCGACAAGTCCTAAATTATACAACATGTCCTTACAATGGTCAATAAAATCATATGGGTCCTTTGTGTCAAGACCCAAACCGATGGGCCGCAACGGGCACCCGATACCTTACTCAACCGAGTACCAACATAACGTATCTTTCAGATTATTCTATCATAGGTAAAAGAACCAGAGTAAAGCATAAGGAAATGCAAATATATACATATGAAGTACGGGCCTATAAAGCCGACATAATTCTATATATACTCGAAACATAGACCGACAAGGCCATACAAGTATCCGTATATATAACATCTGTCTACAAGCCTCTAAAAATACATAATATCATAAAGGTCGAGACAGGGTTCCGCCATACCAATCAATACATGTACTAATCATACTGACCAAAGAAGCAACTCCGAAGCAAATGGAGCGCACCAACACCTTACGCTGAGCTGATAGCCTACTTGGAGGACTCTCGACCTGTCTATCAGGAACTATGGGCATGAAACGCAGCGTTCCCAGGCAAAAGGGACGTCAGTACAAATAATGTACCGAGTATATAAGGAATGAAAATCAGTAACTAGTAGAAATGAGAGAAACATGGAGTAAAAAACTCAACATGTATATCTGAATAACTCTGTGAACCATTTAATATTATAATATCGTGCATATGCGTATAAATGTCATATCATGCATGGGTATATGCGTTCATAACATCATCAAGCCTCTGACATCCCATCATATCATCTCGGCCACTGTAGGCAAATCATCAACGTATATCAGCTAATCAGGTGGTGGTGCGTATATAACGCCGTAACCTTTTCCCATATCCCATATACATATATACGCATATATAACGCCATTTGGTCATGGGTCAATAAACATGAATGCAATGTATGAAAAATACGTCAATAAAATCTCTTGGAATATCATAAGACCATTATGCCTTTGAGTAATATCATGAAGTAAATCTTTTCAACTTACGTATTTTTCTGAGACCCATGAACAAATGATATAATAATATGATACATGAGGAATCAAGAACATAAGCATCTCTAGTATTTCTATGAGTAGAGCTATTTATGGAAATTGTGCATTTGCTCTTTTCGTTTGTATCGTATGGATCATGCCAGAAGAAAGAAGGGATAACCTTAACATACCTGAGCTGATTCTCTTGACAATCCCTCTAACACACGTCACTTGCGACAACACATAATAGCGGATCGAAATAGGGAAAAATTCATATGAAATTCTTGAGAAAGATTGCACCTCTTTGTCATGACCACTAGTAAGATAACAATCACCTTATTAATTGTTGCATGCATGAGATCGTTTGAACCTTATAAAATAGTGAAAGATACTCATAAATGATCATGCCATAACTAACTTCATACTTTATTCTCACTGTTTTCATCGCATGAAAGCAATCATACTATCGATATGAATATATTTTGTCATGTGGATTGACTTTTGCATCCTTGTCTCGTCCCAGAGCACTAAACTCATTAAGTTGTCCGTTTAAGTCATAGACCAACAAGGAATTTCCTTTCTCCATATTTTTTTTTTCACGGCAGCCCCCTCCATAAGCTTTTTCTTCTTTGAATTGTGTCTAATAATCTCTTTATCTTGGAGATTTATGGGGCCCCCACTTTGTGGATGAGTTGGCCAACTATTATTCTAAATGTGCCACTTATATATGGACTTTAAAAGTCACATTTTTGTGACTTTGCTGGCTTTGATGTGCAGCCACGTTGGTGGATGCAATTCTTATCCAATATATCCCCAGTTAATTAGGTAATATCCCGTTATCCGGTAATTAATCAATTACTCACATAATTAAGAATTATCTCAACTTACTTAAAATACTACTCGCTTTTAACATACCTTGTACACCTTACTATCATGGTCATGTAGTACCTTGTATGACACTAGTCCATAAATATGGGGTATTAATGCTCAGCCCATATTTTATCCCAATATGCCAAACTTGGACAAAAGATTTATCTTCTTTCACTTGCTTCCCCTCTCACCTTCACGAATTTATTCATCATTTGTTTAAAATATCATAATCCTTATAATCTCCAAATAATCTTTTTCCTTGGACAAATGTCAATTACCTTACGATAATTTCAACATACAATACTACATGGTGCAACATCATCGTAATTTAATACTGTGGGACGTAATATCGATGTAATATTGCGGGGCGTAACATTATTCCCCCCT